AAAAAAAAGAAATGCCGGTATGAAATTTGCCAATTTCCTCTAATTTTGTTTTCGCAGTGAACAAGGTCTTGATGAACACATTAATGTCAGCCCCAAAGTTGTCAAAAACACTGATGGGTAAGAGATGGATGTGAGTTTTGTTATGTTTCTCGTTAAGTAAACCCAAAATTAATAGAAATGATTTAGAATTATTCTGTGGGCAAATTGAATGCAAATCTCAAAATATCATCGCAGGTGGAAACCTAGATGTCTCAATATTTGTTAATTGCAAGAAAGAGAGGCAGCTGGAAACAATGTATGGCGGTGCTTTCTCTTCTCTAAGCCTCCAGTAAAGGAACTGAACAGAGCGGTTGGAGAAATGGGCAGGAAGGAACATAGGTAGTCTAGGAGCTGTTGATGTTTTGTTTTGTATGGTATTGAAATTAATACTTTTGTCTTTGAAATTGATGAGAATTTATTAATGGTAGTTAATTTTTTTGAAAAAAGACCTAGACACTTCATTAGACTAATCATTAGCAATGTCATTCACCTCATTTTAGAGTTTTCTGGTAGTCAGTGGAAATTTTATGAGGTTCATTGTTCTTGGGAGGTTTACTGCGCTCAGCAAGGTGATGGACCTAAAGTCTAATAATTCTTCTTGAAGTAATGTCAGTAAGATAATGAAATTCACTTTTTGTCTATAGTTAATTGAAGACTTAATATCATTACACATTACTGTTTTATATATAAATATATCTTAAGAACGGTTTCATGATTTCCCCTTTTAAGTTCTGTTGGTACGTATACAAATTGTAAAATTTTGGAGATGGAGGGAAGGAACCTTAGGATATCTTGGCCCAGTCGTTTGAATAATTTTGAAAATCAGTGTTCCAGATGAATCTACTCATTTTGCAGAAGAGGAAATTAAGACTCAGAAAGGTTAAGTGATTTGAGCAGGCCACAGAAAAAATTAGTGGAAGACTGATAGTAGTTCTATCATCTCTTAGGCAGTGAATAATTACTGAGCACCTACTGGGTTCACAGCTTACAACCAGGTATCATTACTTGTACATTAGGTATAATTATAGGTTGTGGAAGCCAAAAAGAGAATTCAGTAGGCATATTCAATCTTATTAACAGCAGGCAATTAACATAGATTAAAGCTAATTATGTACCAGGGGCACAGAGATGCTACACCAAGACAATAATAGGTTGTCAGTTTAATATATTACATTTTGGAGCACTCATGTACTGCTTGCTGAATATAGAATATATTGTCAATGAGTTGCATTCTTAAAAAGGAGAGATACTGAGAGCTAATTAATAAACACAGAGGCAGTAAAATTCGTATTCATGGAGTCCTAGGAGGAGATGTTTGGAGATGGACAGAGCCTTGGAGATTATCCAATCCAACCTCCTCATTTACAGATGAGAATACTGAGACCAGGGGCGAAAATCTCACAGTCATCTGTGAGATCTTCTAACTCCCAGCCCAACTCCTCCTAGTCTTTACATCACAGCACACAGACTTTGATCTTAAAATACATAAAAATTAATTAAGCACGTTGGGAAATAGCAGAGGCTGTAAAGATAGGAGTGTTGCTCTTGCTGTGCGATGACCAGGAGGTGTTTTTTACTGTTCTTACAGGGTCACTTGAAAGATTGCTTCATAGATTAAAATGGCACAAATGTGCAAATGATTGCAAAACACTTTACAGCTTTTAAACTGCATGAAAGTAATAATAACCTAAATATCCTAATGTATCCTTTACTACATTCTTAAAGCTAAATAAATAAAAACAGTAACTTGAGAGAAAAAAATGTTACATTTTCCTGGATAAAATTTAGACATCTTGCTTTGCAGGATCTAGGGCCTGAAAAAAATCTACATATTTGTTGTTTTCAAAAATTGCATGATGCTATCAATCAAGGCAATTCCAGACTGTTCCTGAGATTTTTGTTTTATTAACACATGGTGTTGTCTTTATAGGAGTGGTGGTAGAATATAGCATATATTTATGTTTTCTGAGCTAGTGTTTCTCAAATGTGGGTTGCAATTCATTAAAGGGTCTTGTAATTAATTTAGTGAATGGCAATCAGCATTTTTCTCTTAATTAAATAGAATGAACTGAACAGAAAATATGAGAGTTCTTATGTAGTAAGAATATTATTTCATAAAATGTATGTCTTTGTGTGTGTGTGTGTGTGTGGCTGTCGGTAAAAGACAGTTTTAGGCTGTGATGTAAAATGTATTTCTTGTTGGGCTTTATGTAACAGTGGTTAGTATATAATTGTTCTAGATTATTAGGTAAATTAAATTTTTGTGCTCAGTAGGACAGTGAAAATGGAAGTTCTAGTGGATTTTTGTTTTTTTTTTTAATGTTACTCTTAATTTTGCTGACACATAAATATTATCTGTAGTTACACTAACCAATATTGTGATTAATTGTATATTTTTTTAAAATTGTGGCTTTTGAACATACTGTCCACTCTACAAAGTTTTATTCTTTGTATTTTATAATAATATGTGAAATTAACCTCATTTTAAAGACTGTTGTCTTTCTGACACAGTTTAGTTTTGTGACAGATTTTGTCATCAGTTTACACAAGGAAATTATGTTGTGGATAGTTTTCATATGTCAATCATTCTTTTAATAGTATTCATAGATATCAATTTATTATGTTCAATTGAGAACATTATCACAGAATAAAGCTCAAAATAGGGAAAATTCAGTTAGAGCCTTTCCATAGGCTATGGAGAGGTGAGAACCATGAAGAATAAATCAAACTAAATGAAGCCTTGAACATTCTATGGAAAGGTTGAAGGCTGGGGAAGAAAATGCAGACCTTTTCTCAGACGTTCTGATGATTCATCTCTAAATGACGCTCTTTTGGTCCCTGACCTTGCATCCTTTTTTTTTTTTTTTTTTTAGGAATAAATTGTATTTTATTTTTATATAAGGAAAATGCACTGTTGCAGGGAGAGGTACATGTAGATTGTTTCCCAGATGGTACTGGAAGCAGGTGTTGTCAGTTCTGCAATCTCTTGCCATGATAACTGCCATGTATGTCTCTGAATAAGTATTAAAATGGGTTTAGAGGAACACTTTGAAATTGATGGATTGCTGGAACTCTCTTTGCTAAGCCTTATATTAACAATAATCCCCATTTTAGAGTTTATTTTTTTAATTGATATCCTTAGTTGATTAACCTGGTTTTAAAAATAAGGATATTAAAATCAGTTGGTATCTTCATAATGTTAATACATTCAAGAATGAACAATTGTCAGTTACCAAATGTTTGCTATGGTGACTTAACCAGCATGCCCTTGTAGATAGGCTCTGTCAATAAAATGTATGAAATTCGAGTAAGTTTTCTTCTGATAAAGCGTAATTCTTCATCCCCTAAATTGTTTAGAAAACATATTTCATGGTTAGTCAATACTAAAACAATGTCTTACACTATTATCCTTTCCATTTCCAATTACCTTAAACCTATCATTATCTCTAATCCAAGTTGCTTTAATATTTTTTCCACTTAAAGAAAACAAGATCTTGATAAACTCATCAAAGTGAATCCTGAAATTTTCACAAACAACCAAAGGTAATAAAACTCTGTTGTTTTAATGTGCTTTGGTCAGAAAGAATATTAAGTTTTATTATTACTTCAAGCAGATTTATAACCTTAATGATATTACCAAAAGAACTTCATAATTAACCTGCTCTCTTTTTATTGTTTGATTTAAAGAAACCAAGATCTTGCTAACCTCATCAAAGTAAATCCTGCAGTAATCAGAAACAATCAGAGGTAATCAAATAGAAGCAGTCAATTCATGTTTTTATTTGTCTGTTGCCCCTGGATGAAGTAGATTTATAATGTTGCTTTATTGACCTAGCACAACCCCAAAACCTATTACTAATCTGAACTTTTTTCTCTCCCTCTTTTAAGCAGCCGAGACTTGGACAATCTTATCAAAGTGAAACCTTCAGCTCTTAGAAACACTAATCGGTAAATGACCTTGACTATCTTGACATGTTTACAAGTTTCTAGGGTAGGAAATTCTTCCTCCCTCTTTGCCTCCCTGCTTCTCTCCCTTCCTCTCTTCCTCCCTTTTTTCTTTCTTTCCTTCCTTCCATTTCATTCTATCACCCAGGTGGGGGCACAGTAGCACAATCGTAGCTCACTGCAGCATCAAAATTCTGAGTTCAGGTGGTCCTCCTGCCTCAGCCTCCTGAGTAACTGGCAGCAAATTTAAAAAAAATTTTTTAGAGATGGGGTCTTACTAGTTGCCTAGGGTGGTCTCAAATTTCTGGGCTCAGGCAATCCTGCCTCAGCCTCGTAAATTGCTGGGATTACAGGCATCAACCACTCCTTCCTATCCTTTTTTTGTTTTCTTCTTTTCTCCTTTCTTCCTTCCTGCCTTTCTTTTGAAGACTTTTAGTTTTCTTTGGTGTGTTAAATGAGGATACATTTACGATCCATCCCATGTGACTCCTGTCAACAAGGAAACATATCACACTCTTCTGGAATCAATTGCACTATTTTGGAATTAGTTCTGGGCTTCTTATTTGCACTAAAACAACTTAGTGTTTATTGTCTACAGAAAATACAGTTTTAGGACTGAAATGAAAGAAATGAATACAATTAAATAAGGAAAAAAGATATTTTGAAGAAGTTGAACCAAACTAATGGTTTCTGTGGATGTCTGTAAAACATTAGAATGCATGTCTGTAGAACATTGGAAAGAATATTCATGGTCTTCAAAATCCTAGATCCACAGCTAGTGTGGGCCCACAAAATATTACAGATTTTAACCATAAACTTCCATTTTACATTCTTACGATATCTTATAATTTGTTATTTGATATATTTCACATAAACTGCTTTATTAACCTGTAATAAAGTAATAGACAATGCAAAAGAGTGCACTGTATCAGAAGTCCAAATGGCTCTACTGACCTGAAATTGTATTATAATAAATACATTGCTGGAAGTAGTAGTCCAATATTCTAAAATGACAAAAAGAAATTAACATATGATAAAGTACTTTGAACCCATTAGGAGAAACAGGAAAGTGTAATTCATGATTGGCCTAACTCTTACATCTCCTAATTTGTTTTCTATCTGAGTATCATATTTTGTTCTTGCTGTTTTGAGCACCTAGGATATGACTGGCAGTTCACATACATTTAATCTTCACAACAATCCCATGAGAAATCTATTCATGCACCCTATTTTGTAGAAGAAGAAACTAGAGCTCAAAGGTACTAAATAACCTTTTCAAGAAAGAAAATACACCCTGGACTTAAACTCAGGAACTTCTGATGTCACTATCTAGAGGGAAAACAAAAGATCGGTGGTAAAATCAGCTCAGACTCTCTTGTTCTTTCCATTCTTCATATTCCCTATGATCCTCTGCTGCTCATACACAGTTAAAGGACAATGATCAGATATATTTATTCTGGAGGATTGTTGTAAAAATGACAGGGAGGAAAGAAAACCTTGCTGCATGTGGAGTTTCTTCTAATAACTGAAATAACAGTGGACTCTGCTGCTGAGAATGTACGGAAATATCTTTGCGAAGTAGAACCCTTTCTTTATAGTGGCATTTGTTGGGTGGATTTTTCTTTTTATCAGTAACAGTTTTACGAAGTTCCCAATCATGTTGAAAGTGGTTAGGTTTAATAACCACGTTATGTAATAACTGACAGTGAAAAATGTAGTCTCTCACTTTCTCTCCCACATCTCCTCCCTCCACCTCTTTCCTCCCTCAGTCCCTCTGACAATTGTGCTTTATTGACAACGGTAACTTTCTCAGAAGGGTTTTTAGCCTGTTGTTTTATTATAAGAGGCCAATTTGGTAAAAAGGTAGTTTATATTTCAGCAACTCCTAATCAAATATCCATAGAAAGAGGACATTTTCCGTATACAGATATGATTACTATAAAAAAAATTTAAAAATACTGGCTATCGTGTTGTTTTAAGATGGTGGCTTGATTCACAAATCTAACCTAACCTATGTCTAATTATTCTTTAGTAGTATGACAGATATGATGAGAATCAGCTGGGATGTTCAAGAATCATCACAAAGCAGACAAACAGGAAAGACTGAACCATCTATTTGAAAAAAGCGACTTCATTCAATTGGTTCAGCCACCCGTATCTATAATCTATCCATTCTGCCCTCTATGAAGGAGAGCATTTTAAAAGTGCCTCTCAGTAGGAAGAACAGTCACAGGGCACTGTTACATCAATTCAATGTGACATAAGCACTGATTATTTAATAGTGTAACAGCCGTGAATCAGAGTTCTTTCATCTGACTTTGCTGACATTTCCAGCAGCTGTATATTTAATTCATAGTTAGGGGCTGAATAAACTACTGCCATTGATCAGAATGTAAGCAGGCATCCTTGAACTTCTTCTAGGAAAAAATACAGATGTGCACAAAATTTTCATTTATTCAGTAAGAATTTGCATGACTTTTGGTAGTAACAGTTTCACATTTTCATTAACCAGTATCAAAGAGAGATATTCAGTTATCTGTAGCCTGTAAGCTGTTGTTAGACTGATTATTAAAACGCTAAATATCTGCTCCTGAATGAATATTTGAAAAGCATCTAGTGACACCACCGTCTCTACAGTTAGAAAAGGCATCCTTCATCTAAAGTAGAAAAAAAATACTCTTAACTGTTTGTGGCATTATACTTCCATCTTCTTAAGGATTTCTTATTTGTTAAGACATCCCCAAGTTTTTAGTATTCCAAAAAGAGAAGAGTTCCTTCCTAACTACCTATTGCATATTTTTCATATTTCTGTTAACATAAACTTGGGGACAACCTTGACTCTTTCTGGTGTTTCATTCCCCATAATCAATCAATCAATCACTTTGGATGCATCACCTAATCTCAGGGAGTGGTCCAAGACAGTTCATCATACCCACTGGTTCTGTAGTCCAGATTATTGTTCAGCCTCCTAACTTGCCCTCTGCTGCCAATCTCCCCTTCTGCCCTTCAATCCATTTGCCACCCTGTAGAGTGGTTTTCCTAAGACACAAATCTGATCATGTCATTCTGATTAAACTCCTTCTGTGGCTCCCCATTGGTACTGCATAATGGCCATGATCCTCCTTAACCTGGTCTCCAAGCCCACCATGATCTGGCATCTATGGGCTTTCCCACTCCAATCTATTATCATTCTCCACCCAAAAGCAAACCCCACCCACACACACCCTCTAACTTGCATACTCCTCACTCCTCCTTCATTGCTATTGCTTGGCTAACTTCTACCTATCCTTTAGGTATCCGCTTAGGTGTCTCTCACTCAGGCTCTGGGAAGCCCTTCTAACCCACCACGTCTGCATCAGATGCTTCTTCTAGATGTTCTCGATCTGTCTTTTCTGTCCCATAATGTTGGTTTCTTCAAGAGAGTTATTATTTAATCATCCCTTTTTGACTATAAGGTCTTTAAGGGTAACTACTGGGTCTGCCTTGTTTATTTCTTTACCCATAGTGCATAATGCAATGCCTGGCACATGTTAGGTATTTAGCAAATATTGAATTAAAGGATAAATCTCAACCTCATCAATGCCTTGTGATAGTCCACTTAGAGAAAGTCTAGCCTTCCAGCTGTGACATTCTGAGCCCCTATGAGTGAAATCAAATGAAAAGAATCAGATTTCTTGTGACTGGTCTCCTTGCTTGAGCCAATGACTATCTTTTGCTCATGACATAATCTCAATAAACTATAGTGAATTGGAGCCACTGAAATTCTTGGTCACATCTTATATTTAAAATACCTGAATTGCCTAACTGCTCTATGGACCTGTTAATTTCTTTAAGACTCCCTCACTGAAAAGAATTATAAAAATACGTAAAAATATAAAGAGTTGGGCTTATTTTGCTATGTCAATAAGTTAAGGAATTATACCAGTTCTCTCACTGTATTCCTTCTGAACTAACGCCTAATGCCTAAGATTTAGTTCCTGGCATAAAAGGAATACCATAGTACATTTTTTATATGAAGACTCTTAATTTTGTAAATATGTTTGATACTCTACAAAAGCAATTTAAATGAGCTGTATGGTGAGAAACATATTGCTGCCTATTAATAAATACCTCCCACACCCACATGAGAAAGGAAGAACAGTTAGGAGTGGGCTAATAACTTTCTCATATGCAGAGCTTCTCCTAGGAAAAGTTGTATAGTAAAAGACGTAATTCCTGGGTCTCCAGAATCTCTTATTTTTTTTCCTTCACCTGCTTTGTAAGAGAGTTTATAGTTTTTGATGTGGTAGTAGAAAATAAATGACATTATTATAACATGGATAAATTACTCAAAAATTGTCCTGTGGCTTTATGTCATAGATAACTCATATTTCTCCCCAAATATTCTGAAATCTACATTTAAAAAACATTATTAGGCCAGGTACCTGTAATCCCAGTACTTTGGGAGGCTGAGGTGAGGTGATGGCTTGAGGCCAGGAGTTTGAGACCAGCTTGGACAGCATGGTGAGACCCTGTCTCTACAAAAATAAAAAAAAATTTAGCTGGGTGGGTGTGATGGCATGCACCTGTAGTCCCAGTTACTTGGGAAGCTAAGACGGGAAGATTGCTTGAGCCAAGGAGTTCGAAGCTGCAGTGAGCTATGACAGCACCATTACACTCGAGCCTGGGAGACAGAGCTGGACCCCAGTCTCTAAATAACAAACAAAAAACATTATTAGTTGCAATAGTCAGTAACAATTTGCTCTTCAACAATTTTCTGTAACTACAGAAAGTTGGTGATTTTCTTAGAATTAATTCCACCTGTCCATCAATGTATACTATTTTAAGGTCTGCCTGCCTTCTATGCCACTGCCATGAAAGGGGATTGGAATCAAGCCTCTGCTTAACCCTGCAGCATTTGGTTGCATTTCTATAAAAATCTATTTTTCACAGTTGACTCACAGTTCTTCATCTTATACCACAGTGTAAAAGTCACCATGCAATTGATGTGGTCTTAATTAAAGAACAAAAATTTATTTTTATCGCCTTTAACTTGGAAAGCTTATGAGCAGTCTGTGCTTCTTTTACTGGATCTTCAAATGTAGCTGATGGCATCAATCAGAGTGAATAGCCAAAGTAAATACACATTTTGTACTTTTCTTCATCTGGAACTTTGTATTTTGCATTAAATATTGGTATAGATTATTCAGAGTAAAATCTTGGCTGCTCTGAGTGCAGTGGTGTTTACTCCTAACTGCTCACACCAGTTATAGATTTCTTTGTTCCTTTTCCACTTCCACTGCTTCACTTGACTAGCCTTAAATAAATAAATATTACTCTACCAAACCTGATATGTGGTAGTGTTTAATAAAATAAGAAAAATGTTATGAAACAAATAATAATATAGTTTTCTTGGTGATTTGCAACTGTATTTCCTCTTTGGAAATGTGTTTCTTTGAAGGCATGCATAGGTTGCAATTTTGAGTTATCTGTCCGTAGTTGTTGGATTTTTAAGATTCTGGCTTCTTCTCCTTTCTCAGATCCAAACCCATTCTTTCTCCCTCTCATGAAAACTAAGGTACAAAAGAAGTTGAGCAGTATGTGGGCAGTATCTATAGCAGCCAGGTGTTCAAAGCCAGGAGGAGTTGAGGATGTCCACCATAAGGCTGAGAAAATACATGTAATCACATTGTGAGGGTAGAAGCAAACCTGTATTTATTTGTTAGGGCTGCATAACAAACTACCACAGACTGGGTGGCTTAAAGACAAATATTTGTTGTTTCACAGTTCTGGAGGGCAGAAGTCCAAGATCAAGCTGTCAGCAGGGTAGGTTCCTTCCACAGGGCTGGCTCCTTCTCAGGCCAAAAGAGAAATATCTGTGCCAGGCCTCTCTCCTTGGCTTGTAGAAAACTGTCTTCACTTTTTTTTTTTTTTTTTGAAACGGAGTCTAGCCCTGTCGCCCACACTGGAGTGCAATGGTACGATTTCGACTCACTGCAACCTCTGCCTCCCCCGTTCACACAATTCACCTGCCTCAGCCACCTATGTAGCTGGGATTATAGGCACCTGCCACCACGCTCAACTAATTTTTGTATTTTTAGTAGAGACGGGGTTTCACCATGTTGGTGAGGCTGGTCTGGAACCCCTGACCTCATGATCCACCCGCCTGAGCTTCCCAAAGTGCTGGGATTACAGGCGTGAGCCGCTGCGCCCAGCCAGAAAACTGTCTTCACTTTATGTCTTCACTTTGTCTTCCCTCTGTGTGTATCTGAGTCCAAATTTCATCTTAGAGACACTATTTGTAACTTGATTACCTCTGAGGACACTTATCTCTAAATAAGGTCACGTTCCGAGGTATTGGGGGTTAGGACTTCAACATATGAATTTGGGGGAGTATATAATTCAACCCAGAACAAGCTCCAAAGGTAATGAAACAAAGCCAGGACTAGGAGCTGTGCAAAAAAGAAATAAATATAACATGTGCATTCAGGGGTGAAGCAAGGCAGGTGCTGGGTGATGGACAGAGATAGAGGTGAAATGTCCATAACTGGCTTTACTGGTCTTTTTTCCACATGACTTTGGTGGATACTATGTCCCTAGATATAGACAGACCAGACAATCTTAAAGGTTCATGGTCTAGGCTAATACTTTCCCTTGGGGTTCCTTTAATATCTTTTCTCAGAGCTGGGTAAGGTTGTAAGAGGCTTCCCCAAAAAAGAAAAGATAATTTAAATTAATAATTTAAATTGATTCCACAAATGGAATTAATTTGTGGAATTAAATTAAATTATGGAGCAGCTACTATGTGCAAGGCCATATTAGGCCACAATAATATGACCCTACTCTCAAGTTGTAATGAAAGCCACCAGTTTCCCTATAAAACTAGCACTCAGTTCCTCCAGCATTAGCACTGGAGGGGGAATCACTTTGAAAAACAAAGTTCTAATTGCCCAAGATTCACACCTCCTAATAATCTTCCACTATTTACCACTGCCCACCATCCCAATTTGACATTTTTAGGAAACTGAATCATGGAATACCATGATACTCCCTTTAATTTTATTCCACTATCCCCAAATATTTAGTAAAGTATTACTTAAAACATTAAGGGGAAGATCTCTTAATGGCCTAGGTTGTTAAAATAGTTTAGTGGCGCCTTATGCCAAGAAGATGGCTCTAGTAATTAGTGGAGACCATCAAGGATTAGGCAAATCCAAAGACTCTAGTGACTATTTGTCAGTTTGCAGGATTTAGGGTAGTAGATTATCTTACTCAGTTCTTGCAGTTACGTAGAAGAATTCAGTTTTGAATTTTACATTGTTCGGACTGCAGAGCCAATAATTTGATACTTCCGAGCTACTTCTGAAACCTAGTACTTTTTACCTACATTAATTGGCATAATTCCACTGTAACTCACTTAAAAAGTAATTTACCCTATTTTCTACAGTTTCAAAAGTATGCAGTTAGTGTTTTAAATGTGAGGCTTAAGTATCGCTAGGGAATGCTGCCGAATTTGCATATTATACCAATATTGACAGCTTGGATGTTATGTAAAAAGAGTGTTAAATCTCACCCCACGTAAACATGAGAACATTTTACCGTATTTTGCATCTTTATCAATATTTGTGAGTGAGAATCTATATACTGATTCCATGTGTAATCTTATTTGAACCCACTATTTAGGACCATGAGAGGGGAGATTTTTAAAAAACAGAGTTAATTCCAAAGATGTGACAATTTAGGACAGAAATAAAATGTGAAAGTGGCCTCTCAAAATGTGGAATCAATAGTGCCAACTGCAGGATCACTGCACTTCTATTTTTTTTTTTATGCTTTTTCAATTCACCCACAACTGTAGTCACTGCGTGTGTATTAGTCTGTTCTCATGCTGCTAATAAAGACATATCTGAGACTGGGTAATTTATAAATAAAAAGTGGTTTAATGGACTCACAGTGTCACATGGCTCGGGAGGTCTCACAATCATGGTGGAAGGCGAAGGAGGAGCAAAGGCATGTCTTACGTGGTGGCAGGCAAGAGAGCTTGTTTAGGGGAACTCCCATTTAAAAAACCATCAGATCTCTTAGGACTTGTTCACTACCACAAGACCAGTGTGGAGACAACCACTCCCATGACTCAATTATCTACACCTGGCTCCACCCTTCACACATAGGGATTATTACAATTCAAGGTGAGATTTGGGTGGGGACACAGCCAAACCATATCACTGTGCCATGAGTTTTATTTACATTAACTTACTCATTCTCACCACAATTGTGTGAGTTTGGACATTAGTGTCCTTCTTTACAAAATGATATGGTTTGGCTCTGTGTCCCCACCCAAATATTATCTCAGATTATAATCTCCACATCTCCACATGTCAAGGGAGGAACCTAGTGGGAGGTGATTGGATCATGAGGACAGTTCCCCCCATGCTGTTCTCATGAGAGTCAGTGAGTTTCCACGAGATCTGATGGTTTAAAAGTAGTTTTGGTTCCCCCGTCTCTCTCTCTTGCCGCCTTATGAGGAAGTTGCTTCTCTTTCATCTTCTGCCATGATTGTAAGTTTCCTAGAGCCTCCCCAACCATATGGAACTGTAAGTCAATTAAGCCTCTTTTCTTCATAAATTACCGAGTCTCAGGCAGTTCTTTATAGCAGCGTGAAAACAGACTAATATGCAAAATGAAGTTTAGAATGGTTGGCTAACTTGCTCATAGAAGTAAGGAAAAAACTGGGCTTCATTGTTTGGACTTCTAAACAGTGCTCCTACCCTATGACAAAGACTTTTCATAACTCATGAAAAAAGAAAATAAAAAGAACTATCAATGTTATACCTAATATATAAATAACATACCAGAGGATCTTGTGTCTCATGAAAGGGTGTCAAATCATTAATGCAGCCCAAGATATAAGAATCAAATCACTCCATTTATCCCCCACATAATGAATTATTTATTCAAATTTTGAGTTGATTTCCCTTGTTTCTGTGATCCCCAAAGCCTAAATAAGGTCTCTGGATAAACATCTAAGAATTGATTTCAGGTGGGCAGATGGCATCATCTCAAATCTTGACTCTTCTGAAAATTAGTTAATTGGCCTTGGAAAACTGACTTTGCCTTTCTGAGATCCAGATACTGTTCTGCAGGATTTTGTGAGATCTGAATGAGATAATCCATGTGAAAACACAGTTAGTACTTCATGACACAGAGATAATACTCATTAAATGTTAGCTGGAAAGAAGTTGATTAATGGGTACAAACATACAGTTTGATAAAAGAAATAAGACATAGTATTAGATCAGTAGGATGACTATAGTTTACAATTATTGATTACGCATTTCCAAATAACTAGATGAGAAAATGTTGAATGATTCTAGCATAAATAAAAGATAAATATTTAAGGTGATAGATAGCCCAAGTACACTGATTTGATCTTTACAAATTATATGAATGTATTAAATCATCACACATACCCCGAAACTATGTACATCTATTATACATCAATAAAAAAAGAAAAATGAACTGAATGTGAATAAAAATTATTGATTTCTTTTCAGATCAGATTTCCCAAACCTTCCAAAAAGTTAGTTCTTTATTTTTCTTTCACGATGTAATCCATACTTCCATGTTTGATCCATGAGTTGTATGGATCAAATAGCTCAACATCAGATATTCAATCTCCCATAGCCTGGTAGGTCACAAATGACTGTGTCTAAGATTATGCGCTGATTTTTAAATGTTTCAGTATTTTCTTATTTCCTGTCATTATGTTGTAACTAAATCATATATACATGCATATATAAATAACATATTTTTTTCCTTAGAGACCAGAACCTGGAAAAATTAATTGAAGTAAATTCTCATGTTTCTGAAAACAAGAATGTAAGGTAAAGCTTATTATAAATCACTTTTTTCTTATGAATTCCATATGCATCTGCATATATTGTATAGCCTTAGAAGATTAGATATGTAACATTATATATTATATAATATATAATTTGGATAGTGTGTATGTATGTGTATATGTATATATAATCCAAACATAAAAATTTATATGGTGCTTAATAGCTAATAGGGAAAAAATCAACATAATTCTAATTCTGTAGAATTTCTGACTCAGGGCCTGCTGTTCTATTGCTTAGTGTAAATGGCATCATGGAAATTCAAAGCTCTTTGGGGCTGTGAAGATTTATTTTTACTTACTGTTGCTTGGTAAGCTCTCAGCAGTGCAGAAAGCACTCTGGGAATCTCTTCCCTGGATGCCTAGTGCTAAAAGAATGCATGAATTTATCACAGCCACAAAACAGGAGCTAATTTTGAAATTTCTTTATACCATAGGGTATAATAGCTTTAAAACTGTGACACCTTATTGGCCATTACAAGAAAGTTTAGGACAGGAGCTATACTTCATTTTTGTCACAGACTGTATACTTTAGGAAAAATTAACTTTTCCATGTTTAGCAATTCTTACCCCTATATATGAGGGAATACTAAATATAATAGATACTATTTTCAGCTTCATAAGGTGCAGTTGCCTTTTGTATTAATTTTTTTATGTAAAGAAATGATATTGTTGATTTCATCTACAGAGAATGGGAAAGCTAGCAAAAGAGCTGGTTCGCTTTTCTTTTTCATATTGTCTATAAAAGATTCCTGAATTCCACAGGTAGATAGTTTCTTTTCATTCCTTTAATTCCCCAAATCATCTTCTTCCTTCTGTTTGTGACCTTGAGAAAGTCTTTGAGAGAATGAGGGAGGATAAATTTTCAGTAGAATCTGCTTATCCTGGAAATACATGAATTCTTTTGGGAATAGAACTGGGCTTACACTTAAACTAATCTCATTCAAGTATTATTTGAAAGTGATTGGGGTAAAAAAAATTACAAGTAAATTGTTAAGTATAATTAAGGAATTTCCCATTTAATTTGAGAAGTGTTCCAGTTCCATTGGACTTGTTAATGAAATGGGATTTTATCAGAGGGATTAATGAGGAAATGGAATTTCATGGAAGTTCAAGAGCAGGAATGGTGGCATTGCCAGGCCTGAGAAAGATCTCAATTGGAATATTGTTCATTCTTGACCTGAAGAAGTTTGGAACCCTTGGACATTAACTAGAGTTCTTTGTCACTAATGCAACTCAGCTAGTCACTGAGTATTGGATTTTGTCCATCTTTTTCCTGTCCTTCCCTGTACCTATTGGCTTCCTTATTCTCTGCTCTTCTTCTGTTTGATAACCAAAATTTTGTGTTACCTCTCAGTTTTGGCTTCTTTGTAACTTCAGCTTATTCTACCTCTTCAGGTACTTTAATGAATCAAATTAAAAATCTAAATAAGCATCCCAGGAAAATCTGCTAAACTGAGACGTGATTCATTTTATGAATGTATTCACTTTACATCATAATTGGATGCGCAAGCAAATATATGTTTTCTAATTAGATTCGTTAAGAAGGTAGGAGCCAAGGGGAAAGTTCCACTTTGCCCTCTGAAGCTTTGCTGAAATATCAACTCCCAAAAGGCAGAGTAATTAGAGAAAAGGCATATAAATTTATTTAACCTGTGATGGGAGCCTTCAGAATGAAGACCCAAAGATATATGGGAAATTGTTCATTTAATACTTAGGTTCAATAAAGTACAGAGAGCCATGAAGAAATATGATTGGACAAAAAGAATATGACCTAATGGCAACAGACTGAATGGGGAAAGCCAGCAAGGCCTGTGTCCCTGGATTCTTCCTAACCTCTTGAGCATGCATTCCTTCCTTCTGGGCATGGGGTAGAATCATTCTGGAATGGGGGTCTTATGACCTACAGTCAAACAAGGGATGTCAGATAATTTCTTTACGGCCAGTTTTTACGTAGAAAGAAAGGTGAAGGGATAGGTAGAGTAATAATTTCAGGTTTTACGGCTGGCTTTGGGGGAAAGGGGTTTTGGTTTGTATGACTTGCCTTGGGGAAGAGGGATTCTAGTTTCTTTGGCTATCCTTGCGGGAGAATGAGACTGAGATAGGCGGGCAGGAGAAGGTCAAGGAAAAACTTTTGTTTCTGACGCTACTTCTGAGGCTTTAGTTTTGTTTGTTTGTTTTTTTTTTTCTGAGACTCAACAGGAATAAGTTTAAGTATTTTTATTTCAATTCTAAATGATAAAGTCTTTCCCTAAACTAAATGGTTTGTGACTGTGAGTGAAATTAATTTCATAGAGCCACTTCACAGATTTTAAGGACTGTAATACTTTTAAAATCATATAATGATAAGGTGGTCAGACAATTTTATTTATCTATTCATCACCTGATGGCATTTGGATTGTTTCAATATTGGGTTTTAATTCACTATTGTGAATAATGTTGCTATGAACATTCGTATATGAGTTTTTGTGTGAAAATGTGTTTTTATTTCTCTTAGGTATATACCACGCATGAAATTGATGGACTATAGAGTAATTCTATATTTAACCATTTGAGGAACTGCTAGACTGTTTTCAAAGCAGCCATATCATTTTATATTCTCATATGCAGTGTATGAGGGTTTTAGGTAAATTTTCAAGGTGAATTTCCACTGCAGGGAACATTTTCTCAAGTGTAAATCCATTTGGAGTTCTATAAGATTCAATACAATATTTGGGTTTGTATTTGTAGAGTCATTGCTTAATTAAGAAACAAAACTGTGACCATTGATTGGAAATTACAATTCAGCAGTTTGTTTCAATGGAGGATAACTTCCTAACAATTAAGCCGTCAAGTGACATATGCTATGAGTCATGAGTTCTCCTTTACAAGGATTATTCAAGGCATTTGAGAGGAATAATTTGGCAGAGATTCTTCTATTACACTGGTTCTCAAACTTTTGGGTACATCTGAATCACTCGCTATTCCAGGGACTACACTTTGAGAATCAATGCTCTTTTGAGTAAGATGTTGGACTTCCCAACCTCTAAGGCGGTGATTCTCAACCTTGACTGTACAAGGGACTCACTGGAAAGCTTTAAAGGTTCCCAGTGACCAAGCTGTACCCCAAACCAGTTAAATTAAAATATCTGGATATGGGGCCCAGTAGCATTTTAAAAGGCACTATGGGCTGTTTTGTTGGTTGCCAAAGTGTTGTCTCCCCAACTCTATTCCTATGGTTCCAAATAACAAAAAATTAGTCTTACAACTTAATTGTCATTAAGATAACATTTCTGTCATAAAATCTATCACTATCCCATGAAAAACAAAGACTTGGCAGACTATCACAGACCCTAGGCAGCCAAAGAGACATGATGGATATGTAGATATGGTATCCTGGATTGTATTCTGAAACAGAAAAAAGTCACCAATGGAAAAACCAGTGAAACATGAATAGAATCTGTAGTTTAGTTCATAGTATGGTACAAATATTAATTCTGTAGGTTTGACAACTCTGTTATAATTACATAAGATATTAACCTTAAGGGAATCTGGGTGAAGGTGTACAGGGATTCTCCGTGTTATCTTTGCAATTTTTCTGTACATTTAAAGTTACTCCAAAATAATGGTTTATTTGTTTAAATTATCATCCTCAAAGTCTACACGAGGAGCAAAATCCATCAAAGAGTTTGTTGTACCACATTACAAACCTAGCATTTGGTTTTTGTTCACAGTTATAAAAATTAAATATTCCACGAAGTCATTGTCATTAATCACATTATAAACACAACTGGGAAAAGATACCAGTATTAGTCAGCATGGGCTGCCTTAACAAAATACCACAGACTGGGTGGCTTAGACAATGGACATTTATTTTTTCATAGCTCTGGAGGCTAGAAGCCCAAGGGCAAGATCCTATCAGGATTGGTTTTGGTGAGGCCTCTCTTCCTGGCTTGCAGATGGCCACCTTCTCACTGTGTACTCTCATGGCCTTTCCTCTGTACACAGAAGAAAAGACATCTCTGGTAGCTCTTCCTCTTCTTATGAGGATTCCAGTTCTGTGGAACCACAGATGACCTTTATTACCTCCTTATTAACCCTGTCTCCAAATATAGTCATGTTGAAGGTTAGGGCTTAAACATATAAATTTTGGGGGAATACATCTCAGTCCATAACAGTACTGTTGGCAAATCACTTATCTCTCCTGTTTGTGGATTTTGCAAACTGGTGATTGTTGATATTCTTTATATATATATATATATATACTTTAAGTTCTAGGGTACCTGTGCACAACATGCAGCTTTGTTACATATGTATACATGTGCCATGTTGGTGTGCTGTATCCATTAACTCGTCATTTACATGAGGTATATCTCCTAATGCTATCCCTCCCCCGCCCCCCACTCCACGACAGGCCCCAGTGTGTGATGTTCCCCTTCCTGTGTCCAAGTGTTCTCATTGTTCAATTCCCACCTATGAGTGAGAACATGCGGTGTTTGGTTTTTTGTCCTTGCAATAGTTTGCTGAGA